CAGCAGGATCTGGGAGCAGTGCATCTTTCAAAGTGACTCTCAGCTTCTCTGCGTGCCCCTTTGACTCTTTGAAAATGCCATTCAAAATCTTGACCGTATTTTTTCTTCTGCAGCCATGTTGTAGGCTACTGAACTTTGTCATGGAAAAAACAAGTAGTAGCTACCAGCTAACGTTAAGAATATGCATTTCTTTTTCCTTTCAGGGAGAAAAAGTTCTACTGGCATTTGAAGCTTGTATTTCCTCACTGTCATGCTGAATACACTTTAAAAGGGTAAAGAGCTTGAAAACCAGATTTTTATAAAGTTTAAACTAGTCTGCTGAAAGTGAACTGCAAAATATTTTGATCAGTTCTTAGCTATTTCTGTTATACAAGGTAAACTCGAAATATTATTTTTAGTCTTAATTAAAAGGGTGTTTAAATTGAAAAAAATACTTGAAAGTTGTGTAGTCCTTTCCTCTTTGAAAGCTAGCGGGCTTTTCAAATCAGGCAAAATGTTTGATTGCTAGCCCTTTTCTCTGTGTAAACAGAGCAGCTTTTATACTCGTGATAGTGATATCCCATACACCTAACATACTCTGTTCTCATGGAGCAGACGTTCAGCAAGATTTGCCATCCCTCGCCTGCACACTGGAGCTGACCTTCGTATAGGATGAAATGGTTGCATTGTTTGCTTTGTAGGAAATCCCACATTTTGCAAAGGCCAAAAAATAAGCTTTTGTTGACAAATCTTTCTCCTTTTTTCCTAGCCTGAAGGGGGATGAGAAGTATGCCCTTGTCTGCTTCTAGGGCTGTAGGAACAGCATGTTTCTGCTGCAGTGTTAGAAACTAGAGAGACACATCTGTTTACTCCTTGTAGATGCCAATGAAGTCCCAGTGCTGAAATTGAGATAAAGCTGTCAGTTATCTATGCTGGATTGATACACATTTATAATCCTCCCATAAACTACTCAGTTGTGCCACTGTAGCATGCAAATATACAGCTTCCTCACAGTGACTCAGATAATAGGTTTTTGTGTACATGATGAACCATGTCTTATGTATTTGATTTTTATCTTTGGTGAAAGGGTGCCTGACGATAAAACACTCGCTGATATCCTTAAGCCATACATTGATCCAGTGGAGTCAGATCCTGTAGTTTGTCAAAGGTGCGTATTGAATAACTTTTCTTCCTAGTTCATCTAATGCACTAATAAAAGAAGGGAACGGTTCTGAATAAATGGCTTAAACTAGCTGCACTTCCAGCATGCAAAGCTGAGTTCCCAGTCAGCAGTACATCTTTAATTCCTGTAATGAAAACCATCCTAACATTCACCAACCAACTAAACCCTGGAGTATAGCAGCCAAATTTAAACTGGGAAAAGATTAAGAAATTGACTCGTGGCATAAAGATCAAATAAAGCAACTGTAATTCTAAAAAATGTAACCATAATTAACCTCAGTGAGGGTGACAGTGAACCTTTCCTTTGGAGTAATCAGAAGAACATACTAGTAATTATAGCCTTCATTTATAGGAAATACTTAGTATGTGGCATATTGTCTTTATGAAGAAATACATACTTTTGGCTGCTGACGTGGCAAAAGATATCTATCTCTTATGGATGGTAGGAGGAAAAGTCATTGTACATCACTGCTTCTTCATTTCTATTGCATATTCTTTTTTTTCAGATTAAAAATCTATACAGTGTCTCCTCAGTCAGATGTACGAATTTTAATGAAAATAGAAAACAGGAGACAAAACTCTATCAGGTAAGGTGTTTCTTCAGCTTGTGTGTTTATTAACTAAAAATAGTAAAAAGAAATAATATGTTTCTCAGTCCTTAATATTACAGATGGAGATTATGTAATCTCGTGGATTAAACTTCAGTGAGTAATTACCAGCCATCTTAAAAATGATTCAGCAAAAATGTTCTTTCTTTGTCTTCTAATATGTCAACACTGAAATTTCTGTGCAATTACCGAGTAGTAAATTCAGCCAACTCATACATGGACAATTTAAGAAGCTAGGGCACTCACAGCTACATTGGGGGAATAGTGAGTGTCCCTGAGCTGCTTCAGCAGCGGTCCATGCAAACATAACAATGTCTGCAGCCAGGATAGGTTTGTGTTAAAATGCTGAAGTACTGACCAGCAGCAATGTAGACATCCATTCCTTCTGCAGGCTCCTCTCCGGATATGTTAACCTCCCCAAGAGAGTTGAAGTGAGAGTTGAGGGGAGCTGTCTTTTTAAATCACTGCAGCAAAAATTATGTGCTTATCAGCATCCAGTCACTGCCTTGGAAATAACACATTTTTCTCAAAGTTACTAGCTCATCACTCTTCCTGTTACCATATTTCTGGGTGTGGGCTTTCAAGTCTCCAGAATTCAGCCTTGTGCAGAACTGTTTTCTTTGTTTCCAGAACAGACAATAATGTTGAACTTCAAAATTAAACTTTAAAGAAATCATTTTTGTTGGTATAAATACCATTTTGAACACTCCACCCTGTTGTCATTGTTGCTGAAAAGGGTATGTACCAGCTTAATATCATAGCTTATTGTGGTTGACCAGTGATTCCTAGTTAGGGTTTTTAAAGTACATTCTTTTCTTCAAATGTAACAAATGTAAATAATATGCTTCCCTGAAGCATGGTATATTATTTCTAAGGGGGAAAAAAAGGTATATTAAAAAATTTTAGTTGTAACTGAGCTTCCTGTTTGTGCCGTATTTTTCCCAGTAATTACTATTCAAAAATGTGTAACGTACTTCACAGTTCAAGCCCCAAACTCTAAATGGTTTTGGGTTTTTTTTCCCCCCACCTTCTTTGCAATCGTTGTTTGAAATATGGTTGGAATGTTTGCCATCAGAGTTGTCAGCTAGAAACCTGTTGGTTTTAAGTTAAATGTCTGGACCAATTTCCATTTAATTCAAGAAAAGCCAAATTCTTGGTGTTTGGGGGAAAGTTTAGAAATGCTGCTATTGTGAGCTACCCTGGAAAGCTCATTGCAGAAGCACCTGGGCAGGCAAAATTCTCTTAGTTCTCTGTCTGTCTTTCTACTGTATTTCCCAGGGTTCCATGTAGAGCTGTGCAGCACAGGCACTTTGGCCAGACAGGTTTTATGTGCTCTTGCACACACGTAAAGAAGCGCTTCTAGAGCTCAGCTCCAGGAAAGGAGATCAGAAACAATTTCCCTTTTTTTAAATATTTTTAACAGACTCTTCTCCTCATCTGTTAATAGTGGTACTCAGGACAGGTTCCCAGAGCGTGAACAACCTCTGTCCCTTTCTCGACTAATTAACTCAAGTTAATGCAGCAAAAACTGAAAAGGCATTCAGTATGTTACTGCTGTACATCTTCTTGCAGTACGTGATTGGAAAGGGAGTATTCAAGCAATGATACTGAATATTCATTTGTATTTTAAAAATACAGTAATTTATACACAGGTGGGTTTTTCCCTGGTATTTTAGTGCTTGGTTTTTCGTATTTCTTTTTTTGGAAAGGAAGAAAAAATAGCTTTTGTAATAGCAGGTAAAGTTCACCTTTTAATCTTAATGAAGTAAGGTATGTAAGTTGCGTAGGCGGCTTGGGAAGGAAACCAATTTAATATCAAAGTTGACCATCTCTTGTGCTCATCAATTTTTTTTGTTACTTAACCATTTTCCTCTTCTGAAGTCTGTACAATACTTCATTAGCTCACAGATTTGTTGAGAGAGAATTCTTTTTCATGAAGCTTTTTAGAAGAATCTCTGGAGTTGTGCTGCACTTAAATATCCTTAAGTTTGAGCCTCATCTGTATTCCCAGAATGAGCTATGTTGGTTGATACTAAAGTCACAGGAATTAGTATTTATCCCACTTAGTGAAGGTGAGGTTTAAAAAGAACTGTAGAAAGTTAAAATAGAAAAGTTTTTTGACTTGAGGAATGCAGCTCCTCACTTGGAAATTATATGAATCTTTTCATAGAAGTTGGTGGAGCAGGCCCAGCTGTGGCAGTGCAGACAGGTCAAGGAAGCAGCATATTGAAAGAAAATTCCACTTCTGAAAGCAGAGAACAAAGTTTGTTTGAAATGATGGGACTGCTATATCAGCAGAAAAATATCTTCTGTCGACATAAGCTGTGTGTCTGCCAGCAGGCGCGGTTATGCCAGTGTAGTTGTTGTGACAAAGGCTCTATGAGGGAATTTAAATTTTTACTGTAGTTGCATTACAATTAAGTAAGAGAGAATTTATTTTGATTTCTTCTCCTTTTGGCTCCCCCCCAGTTAAATTAATTGGAGGTTTACAGCTCTCATTCTATAAATCAATACCTGGAATTGTAGTGGAAGTACTTGGGATTGAAATGGGACCGGCTTGCTGCTTCGTGGTGTTCAGCGTGGAACAAAAGCTGAGCGCAGACGGAGCACTCTCACGTTTCTTCATCCACGTTTCTTTAACAGTGGGGAGCTGTTAACTGCTGGTTTGTATAGCCTTGAGTGCTGCTGTCAGCTCCGAGTAATTTCTCATCCTGTGCCACCTCGTTCTGTGTGGTTTTAGGCTCTATGTTCCTGTATGGCAAAATCCTCTTCCGTCACTCTGCAGGCAGACTGGAGGAGTAGGACTGGTGTAGTCTACTAATATATGCAAGTCTACACTTGCAAGTCTACACTATCCAAAACTTCCCCTGTGCCCACCAGAAAAATTCCTTCTCCGCAAGCACTAGATAATAGGAAGGCTGTAAATACATGTTGTTGAATTGGATGTTGTTTTTAGGCTTAGCAGAACCTTTTGAAAAAAATACTTTTCATAGTTACAATTACATATTATTGAGGAAGTGCAATGATGTTTCAGAGAACATCTAAGCAGGATTATTATGGGTTATAAAATGTTAGTCTTCTAGTTTTAAGATAAGTATGTTATAGAAGGGATTTTAGTATTTCCTGCAGTTGTTTATGAAACAGGAGTTTGTGGTTTAGGCTTGGCTGTTTTCGGTGTTTCACAGCAAATGGCCCTTTTAGTTTGAAGATCCTTTGCAGAATGCTTTAAATTTTGGGGGTTTTCTTTTTTTCTTTCTCCAGAAATATAAATTAGCCATGTAGTACAGATTTCTGCTTTCTCACAGGAGTTCTGCAGAACTTCAGAAAGCAACTGGATAAATCCGCTGGTGTGCAGATATCATGGATGGCTGCCAAACAACACGGTGCTTGCTTGCTTTTTGCTAGATGCCTTTTATCATCAGTGGTGACAGTTCTTAGAGAACCTTGTGATAAGCTCTTATTTCTGTCTTCTCTAAAACCAGCTTGTAAGTCTTGCTTTCAGTATGAATTGGTAGCACTCCACAATTACTTGGAGTAACCTAAAGCATAATCTCTCATCATGTCCTCTCCTCCCTACCTGTCACCTAACACTCTATAGCACCGTGACTGTTACACCACTTGATAGTCTTCTCATTGACTGCACTTACTTTATAAGGAACCTTATGAAGGAGGGTTTGAAAAAACGAGTGTTACACAACTCTCTTCTTCCTTTAAAACCCTGGTTTGGAAAAAATCTGCGTTTGAATGGGTTATAATAGTTTTCTGTTTGGTGGTGCTTGCCTCTATCACCTGTTATGCAATATTTAGTTGGTGGGTGGTGTCCATTCTCTCAGCTGTAACTATTCCAAGAAAGGTTTAACTGCTGCCTCTTGGACGATTTTTACAGTCTACATTCTTTTATAAAGTAGTCTTTTCTTTATTCAGGATAAATTAGTGTCCTGACTGTCTTCAGTCCTTTATTTGGGATGCCTTCAAAGTGACTTCATATGGTAAGAGTATTGCTTTTTCCACTAAGGAAACGAAAGATGCAACTGCCAAATTATACAATCTGGTTTGGGAAATACACCTTCTTATTTTCCTGAGAATTGCCTTATTAGGCTTTGTGTAACAAAAAAAAAAAAAACCAAACCAAACCAACCCCCAGAAAAAGAATTCCTAAATGCAGCAGACCCTTGATATTTCTTATAAGTAAGTTAATGGTCAGAGTTGGGTTTTTCATAACTACAGATATTTAATGAAAAAGCTATGTACTCATCCTTATTGTACAAGATGATCCTATTTCTAGAAGAGAAATAACTGCAACACACTTGGTTTACAGTAGGTATTTTAATCTAAGAGACAATTAATTAAATCTTAATGAGGTTAAACAACACAAATGGAATATCTCTTTTACCGCGTTGAGTAATATCTTGCATGAATCTAGCTTAGATAGTTGCCCGTCTTTAATCACATGCATTTAGTTTAATGGAATTAAAAAATAATGCCTTCTTAAACATCAGTGTTAGGTCTTTTATGTAGTGATTTTCTTTTTTGCCTGTTAATATATTCAGAATGGTATGTGAACATTGTTTCAGAATAAGTTGTTACAGAAGACTTTGGGGGATTTGAAGATAATCAGTAGGCAGTGACAGAATACTTAGGCACTTGGAAAATAGTCTGGTTGGCCTTAAAATCTTTGCAAAGCCCACTGCTTTCAATGGACCGTATCCTTCAAGGAGCTGGAGTACAGAGCAACACCAGACTGTATCCTGTAGCTTTCCTGTTGTACAACTGCCACGCCATGCAGGGATGCATACAGGATCAGTTGTAGCATTGGTTTTTAGAGCAGTAGTACTGGTGCAGCTCATGCTTCAATTACTCAGAAAGCCAAAAATATCAAAAACATTTTTGTACAAGCTCCAGCATCAAGGGGCTTCTTACTCTCTGTGGTGACGCTGGCTGGCACGCACGAGAATACTGGCATGTTTGCCACTTAATTC